AGCAGAATTCCTGTATGTCTGGTTCAAATACATGGAGGAGATGCGCGATGAGGCAGCACTTTGCTGTGCCTCTCGGTGGATCGTGTAATCCTCACAAACTGTATGCAATGCAAATAGTGTGTCGCTGTCCGTCTATATGTCGCAAATAGAGGTCCTCTGCAGAGGGCGCTAGTGAGCCCACAGATTCTTGCGCTACCTACAATCTTCTTCGTGCTTGTTTATATTTCCTTTACAATCCGCCTTATCAAAATGGAAGATTACATTTCCAAGATGAGAAAATTCGCAAATCTGGACTTTCAATCAAAACATTTTTGACAGTCTGGACATTTTTGTCCAGAAGGATCTTCTTTATTGAGAACATTTGTTTTAATATTGGATTCGAACGGTAAAAGGGTTTGTAATACATACCAGCTGACAAATGGATTTCGTGTACAAGTAAAGGTAAGACCATAAACTTTTATTATTTCTAGTTAGAAATAAGCTCAATTGGAATAAATTTTAACCTCAAATTAAATATGGGTCACGTTTGTGTGAAGAATGCTGATATGAAATATAAAACATAACGCATTGTTTGTTAACAATTTGTTAACGGTTCATTTGTATTTGTAAATCTGACTGTAAAAGAGTCAGTGCCTCACCAGCTGTCAACCTCACTGCACCCACTAGGAATGTGATGAAAGGAATAAAATCAATTTCCCCCACTATTATTCTGGCATTTGACATTCTTAAAATAAAGCAGTGATCCTGACTGAAGACAGGCAGTGTTCATAGGACTACATATCAGGAGTTTTGAAAAACTGACTTTAAATGTAATTGGCTATGGAGTATAGTAACTTCTGACTTCAACTGTATATAAGAGAGGGGATTTTCTTTCCCTGTATCTTTTTCTCCTGCCAGTTATGTATTCCATTCCTAAACTGACAATGGCAAAGCTATTTAGAAGTACTGCACATAAATATTCACTCAGCATCCTGCTGATATCACTGACCAGCTTTTGTGCATGGAACAAAGAAAGTCTCTGGTCCTGCAACTAGCAGAAGTTATATAGTGTCATTTAGTCACACCTAAATCCATCTCACATGTAATCTTATGAACATTTCTGTTTTTGAATTATACAACAAAATCATATTGTAATCAGTGTGTCTATGGTGAAACTGACTGCGGTCCACCAGAGCTCACACCCACTGGTTGTGTTGTCCACTTTACCTCTACCTACAGCTGCTTTCAGAGCTGATCAAACTGCCATAAAACGCAAAAACAGACACAACGTATATCCCTGTGGTAGTAACACAGGTATGTCTGTGTGAATCTTGTTCGTTTGGAGAAACTGTAACAGTGATAGCGGTGAGGTCAGACTGACTTTACCTGCTGCGTAAAGCCGTTTTCAGATAGGACGCGCTGGGCGCTGCACTCCACTATCAAACCCATCCATTTCTATGTGTTGCTTGGTGCAAGAACATATCTGCACTGCGCTGAGCCCCTGCATGCTGCACCAATGTTAAATAACTTATTTACTTTGTAATGTTTTGAATATTGTTTGTGAAAGTTTGACCATGTTACTGTTCCATTTTCTAAGATGCAAAGCTCTAAGTTTTACTTTCCTGAGTATAGTCTCAGTTCCTTCTTATGTCAACTCTAGGAAAAACGGTCAAAGTGTTTATTTGTCATATGCACAGTTAGGAAACACGTTTCCCTGTACAATGAAATTTTTACTTTCCCGTCCATATGAATTCCACAAAATACAAATGAAATATAAAGTAGATAAATAAGTAACACAAACTCTAAGGCACTTTAAGCAGCAGTATAATAAAAATATATGAGAATATAATAGGGAATGTATGCTACATGGGAGCAGCATGTGCAGCAGTCAACAGTCAATGTGCAATTATGCATGTGCAAACTGAGAATGTAAACAGTACATGACGTATTTCCTGGCAGTAAACTCCTCAGCTGTTTAGGAGGAGTCTGATGACAGAGGGAAAGAAAGAGTTTTTCCAGTCTCGAGGTCCTACACTTCACACTTCTGAACCTCTGGCCAGAGGGTAGAGAAGCGAACAGTTCGTGCTGGGGGTGGGTGGGATCTTTGAGGATGGAGGCAGGCTTCCTACTGTAGGGTCAGTTCGTCTTACCATGCCAACTCTGAGAGACGAGGCAGTCCAAGTAACTTCAAAACAGTGCTGATTTATTCAAAGGATCACAGGTAAAATTAACATTACACGCTCAGGTATCTTGCACCTCCAAACTGCACGCAGGCAGATGTAAGATGAAAGACCCTGAACCCACCAGGCCTATACATTATATCACCTCGGTTGGGCTAGCCCCATACTACACAGAAACGTCAACCGAGACGTCTCTGTTACCAGCTTTGCAGCTGGTCATAGCAGTAGTCAAAACATGAAGCAAATCAATGTGCATGTGTGTGTCTGTTGATTAAGTGGTGTGTAACTAAAAACATTCTCACAGACTTCTAGTAACATGTCGTGACTCAAACATAAGAACATATTATGGCTAAGGCTACAGTTATACACGTCACAATAATAATATTAAACATCCTGTCTGCTGACAGTCATCAACTCTTCTCTCTAGTTATCCTTGACCAGATGTACCCTGTAGAAACTCATAAGCATGACTAAGCATTTAACAGTCTAACTAGACATCCTATCTCCACTAAACATTTCTAATACAAAAAGTATC